ACCCAGGCACTGTCCATGGCAGGAAGCCAGAACTCATCTGCATCTTGTCAGTCACGGATGGGACTATGAATAGACTTCGAGACAGTATTACAACCTCACAGGTGCCAGGTTGGCTTTCCTTAAAATCACATTCTTCCTACAAAGGGGAACTTCCCTCCCTCTGTATATAAGGAAGCTTAGGACAAATCCCACTGGCAGCTCAAGTTAGACCTGGTGTGGGGACACTAGGGGTAAAGTGGCTCAGAGAGCCTCTGTGTCTTCCTACAAGGTTCTAGATCAGCCCCTCTTCTCTGAGCCCCTACTTATAAAGCCCTTAACCCTGCCATTCTTGGTAATGGGTGCAGCCATACTCCTTCAAGATGATACACACAAGTCCACTAGGAAAAATCATGTAGTCTGCAATTCTACAGCACAGCACACCCTATTGCTCTTTGGAGAACAGATCCCCACATGTGATCCCCAAATAAGAAAGGGTCCACTTGCCCGTGGGGATGACCACTCTTGGAAGTACCTCTGAACTTCCTGACACCCCCAAAGTCTCAATCAGAGGTATAGACACCCTGAGAGCAGCCCATTCCTTGCTTTCTAAGACAACAGGCAGGGCCAAGGACATCCAGAACCTTCCTTCTGAGGTTCTGGAGGAAAGTCAGCTGGGGTTGAGGAACTGGAGGAGTTAATGAAGAAAGGCTTCCTGGGGAAGAGGCAGCAACCTTAGGTCCTTCACTAGAGTGACCCAGAACATTTCATAGGAATTCAAAAACTTCTGCAATCCCAAAGTCCTCCCCACCCTATGTCCCTGGCCCCTGAGGACATAGTTCATTCTGTTCCTCTGGGGATTTCCCTGCCTGGAACTTCCTCTACCTCTTCGAATTGCTTTCCTGAACCTAAGGCTAACTCCAGACCACCCAAGACCTACCACAGTCGTGCTCCAGACCCTGCCGCACCCACTGACCAGCCTGTCTCTCCATGTATCCTTCACCCATCAGAGTTCAAGGGCAATCAACATGTTTCCCCAAGGCCATGGCTTTCCTAGCTAGAGCAATGTTGGAAAGTAGCCTGGGGACTGCCATGATTGCCTGTGTATGGACAAGCCCTTGGTGAAGACTGGGCCTGTACCCAGCTCCCCTGTTTCCTAGGTGAGTACTTTTAAACCAGGCTTCACCCCTCACCCCAGCCCTTTGAGCCTCGGTTTACCCATCTGAAAAATAAGACTATTTGAAAAGTCAGTAAAATACTGACTCCTGCTAAGTGGAGATGTCCTTGGGAAGTACTGGCCCATGGAAAGAGACGGTGAGTACATTCCATGCTAAGACAGGAATTTGAGGCAGGTGCATGCTCCTGCCTCCCTCACTTCTGCCAAAACCAACCCCCACAGGAGTTTTCCTCACTGCTGTTTGCTTCCCCCACCCCATCCCCACGTCTCTGCAACCCTGAGGATTTGTCCTGGTTGGCAGATCTCACCTGGAAAGAAAGTGACTCAGACCTCCAGGAGAGCTGGGATGAATCAGGGAGGCAGGACTGAGTATTGGGCCCCCACCCCAGAGTCCAGGCCTCTCCCAGCAAGAAGAGTATGCGCTGTCCCCAGTGATCACTGGGTGAGAGGGCGAGAGGGCAACTCTGCCGAAATGTGCCCCTGGCCAGCCAGTGTAATCACACTTGTAATCACACTCCCACATTCCAGGCCTGTCCAGACACCTTCTCAGTACTATCTTGTCGTGCAGTCCTGCAGGGAGGCCAGGCAGTCACATGGGCCTCCATTCTCTCTGCTGAAGGTGGCTAGGATCCCTTCCTGTCATTCTGGGGAACCAATGGACATGGGACATGGAACAGCCACTGGAGAACCTGTGGAGCATCGGAAGGTGGGAGCCCTGCCCTGCCTTTCTAGCTATGAGGCTCCATCTGTCACTGTCCACGAAGGTCCCATCCTTCTCTGCTGTCAGTGAGACCCCAGAGAAGATACTCTGCCTGGACCTCTCCCTCCTCACACCAAACCTGTCTGCGCAGCTTGGTCAAATGTTGTGAACTCCAGCCTACCAGGCAGATGTGCTCCCCCAAGCCAGCTCTGAGGAGTAATGCCCCCCAACTCCCTACTGCTCCCCTTCCCATCATGCTCCTCTCCCAGGACCTGTGCAGGTCTTCCTCCTGTACATGCATGTGCTTCTTCCCTCTGCTCCATCTGCCGGTGCTATGAATGGAATCTGAAATGTGTCTGCAAGCTCATGTTTCACGTGCTTGTTCCCTGACTGGTGGAGCTATTTGGGGAGGCTGTGGAGCCTTTAGGGAATAGGGCCTATCAGACAGGAGTAAGTAGGTCACTTTGAAAGTGGTACCCAACCCCTGGTTCCTGGTCTGCTGTGATGTGAACAATCTCACCACACACTCCCACCCCTATGCTTGCTCCACCACAGTGGACTGAAGCCCTCTGAAACCAGTGAGCTAAAATCAAGCCCCGCTTAAGTGGTTTGCCAGGTAGCATCATCTCAGTGAGATCAAATTAATGAATACAGGCTGAAACAAGGCTTCCCTGGCTTCTCTCTCTCTCTCTCTCTCTCTCTCTCTCTCTCTCTCTCTCTCTCTCTCACCTTCTCTCCCTCTCCCTCCCTCTCACCCTCCCTCCCTCTGACACACACACACACACACACACACACACACACACACACACACACACACACACACACACTCCTAGAGAGAGGAGAGAGAGTCCACAGTCTTTCTTTCATCTTTTCCCCATAACACCTATGAACTTCTAATATACCTTAAATTTTGCTTGTCTTATCTGTTATGTTTACCGTTTGAAGCCTTTCCCTCTCCTTTGGACTGAGAGTTCAAGGTGGGCATCGCTTTGGATCTGTAATGACCACTCTACATGAATCCTTGACCCCTGACCCAAGGTATGCACATAGCAGATAGATGAAGGAGAAAAAATGGAGGGGGATGAAGGGGAAGTAAGAGAAGAGGGAGAGAGGGAAGAAGGCTAGAGGGGGTTGAAGGAATGCGAAAGAAAGAGGGTGGAAGGAAAAAGGAAGGAAGGAATGGAGGGAAAGGAAGGAGAAAGGAAAGGGAAGGAAAGGAAAGGAAAGGAAAGGAAAGGAAAGGAAAGGAAAGGAAAGGAAGATGAAGGAAGAGAGGGAAGAAGAAGAAACGAGAAAGGGATAGTGGGATGTAAGGGAAAGAGGAGAGAAGGAAGAAATAAAGAGAGGGAGGGAAGAAGGAAGGATTATAATTGTCATCTTAATTATCTTAACCTTGTTGACCTGACATTCCCTAACTGTGGTTTTTTTTTTCCTGCCTCAGTCTCTTTATTTGTGAAGTTAGCTAATAGACTAACTGAGCTGTATGTGGCATGGCATGATTACACTCAGTAAGTACTGGCTATTACTGTGACATCACCTGTACAGCCACCAGGAGGCAGGTGACCTGGTCAGGCTCTGTGGAGCTCATTTCCAGGTCAGAAGATGGCCCTAGGAAGCTGCTCCCTAGGTCTTCCTGCTCAGGGTGTGAAGAGGTGCACCCAGGCTGAGTGAGAAGCAGGCTCCTGCTTCAAAGGAGCTCAAGCTGGCTCTGCTGCAGAGGACCACAAGGGAAGCCAGAGGGCACAGGGCTTTGGGGCAGAAATGAGCCCAAACATTTGTGTCATATGTGGATTCATCTTCTGAGAACTGGGAGTCTGCCATCTTCCCAGGACTAGAGTCTGAACAAACCTTCCCAGTGTGTGCACCATGCTCCAGCCAGCAGAAGGGATATGCAAATGAACCCAAACCAGAGAAATCATTAAATCTATCTTTGAGCCAGTGAGATGGCTCAGTAGATAAAGGTGATTGCTGCCCAGGCTTGAGAACTTGAGTTTCATCTCTAGGACCCATAGTAGAAGAAGAGAACTGACTCCAAAAAGTTGTTATCTGCCTTCACACACATGTGTACCATAGCACACATATACAACCACATACATACACACATATCACAATAATCATAAAATAAAGGTATTAAAACTTCTCTTTGTTCAGGGCGCCTTGAAGTCCTGTGAGAGCCAAACCCAGGCCTTCACCACACACACTGAAGACACAGATAAAGAAAAGCCCACAGGGTTAAGAAAATCTGCCTAGGGTCCCATTTTTGGAAAGAAGTGACGCTGGAACCGGCATCTCAGACAGCTTGTAACCCTCCACAGAAAGCTTGAGGTGAGCTGAGGCTCACCTCACCAGAGGCTGAGACAGCTAGGAGGACCCATTCACTGTCTTTGACACTAAAAGGGCAGCTGTTTCCCACTCTGCAGCCTAAGAGCTAAGGATGCAGGATCTGTGAACATCCCTGTTTCCCCTAAATGATGCGACAGACACAGGGTCTGTGAGCATCCCTGTGCCCTACTAGTTAATGTGACAGATGCAGGCAGGATCTGAGCATCCCTGTACTCCACTGGTTGATGTGACAGAGACAGGGTCTGAGAATCCCTGTGCCCTACTAGTTGATGTGGTCTACTCTATCTGCTTCCAAAAAGAACAACAAAGTGGTTTACCACACAACATAAATGAAGCTGATGGGAAACACAGGTGCCCTGTCCTCTGGAGAGCCTGAGCCCTTCTTTCGGTCGAGGGAATTCCATGATAAGCCACACCCCAATTCTCTGAGTCTCTACCTGAGGCCAGCCTGGACCTAGCTCTGGCCTACATTTGATCTTCTCCTGCCCTATGTACTGGTCCAGGGGCAGGACCCCCAGGCCGCCCACAGGAAGTGCTCTGACACAGGATGTCATGGCTGACTTTGGCACCTGCCCTTTTGCCCTAATGAGTCAGGCCTCACCAAGGAGAAAGCCTCAAGTGGCAGCAGGAGTAATTCCAAATGACTTAATTGATTTAATTCATTGAAAAGAAGAAAGGAAGCCAAACCCTTCTGAGGGCAATCTAGTGCCTGCTTGGGTCATGAGTGCTGCTGAGAAGGTCCCTGGCATGTGACTGCACCAGGGGACTCATCCCCCCCCCACCCATGCCCCAGGTCCCCGTAGGAGGGACAGGCCCGCCTAGATCCTCATTGTCTCAGGAACAGCAGCAACCAGGGATCACAGCGAGGCCATCAAGTAGAGCATCAGCAGTGGCTTTGTGACCTAGCCCCAGAAAGCCAGGTCTGGGGAGATGCCAACCCTAGAAGCTTCCTCGACAGGGGAGGGCTGGGTCACACAGTGCAGTAAGGATGGGAGGCGAGGCTTCTGATGGTGCAGAATTATGGAGAGGTTTGGGCTCTGGGCCCAGAGGTCCAGAAACTGTGAGAAACAGTGGTGGGCAGTAGAGTCCTCACAGGTTCTTCCAGGAAGAAACCCTGTTCTGTAGAGAAGACTTCAGCTTCAACGAGTCAGCCTGCAGGGAGAAAGCCCATTAAGAAAAAGTGCAGACTACCCACAACCCCTGACACAAGCCCCCTGAGGTTTATTCCACGTAATCCTCACAGCTATGTAAGTCATGTCATGATCCCTATATACAGGAGAGGAAACTGAGCTCCAGAGAGGTTGGGACTGGCTGGCACATAGTAAAGTGAAGCTTGTGAAGCTTGGCTTTGGATCCAAGCGCGCAAAAACCCAGCGCTCAAGCTGTGATTGCACACTCATTGGAGACTCCATGCCAGTGACAAACACGAACCCTGCTTGGACAAATGCACCAGACTGATGGGCATAATGTGTTCTTAAAATACCTGGCCTGTGCTGAGCCTGGTGGCACATAACTAAATCCCAGACCCCAAGAATCAGAGCAAGAAAAATGGAGTTCTGTGAGCTGCAGCCAGGAGGGACAGGAGAAAGGAGGCTCCACCATGGTCATCAGTGGGAAGTAACCAGTGGGAGAAGACCAACAGAGTCTACTGTCATCTCCTCAGACCATGGTCAGTAGCAAGACAGGCAGGCCCCTCACTGAAGGGAGCGGACAAGTGCATGTACAATGGGGCACACAGCCCAGAAAACATCTACCTCTGTGACATGGGTCTATCTGCTACTAAGGCTTTGCCACTGTGACTCTGTCTGAGCTAGTCAGTCCATAGCCAGGGTCAAAGGTTAGTCAAAGGTCAGGGTCTACAAGTCAGTTAAAGCCTGGTTTGAGTTCTCAGCTAGAGGTCAGGATTAGTGGTTTGTCTGGTGCTCAGCCTCTAAGCAGTGGGCTGCATGAAGGAGGCACTGGGAGGTTCCATGCCCTAGGCCTAGATGAAGAGTCTGTAGTGAGTCATTAGGGTGACCCTTGAAGTGACCCCTGAAATATGGCTGCCTGTAGGTCACCTGCTAGGGATCTGGTACAAGGTGGGGCTGAAAGGCTCCAGGGGTAGGCAGAAGTCTGTGCCCAGCCCTCATTCTTCCTAGCTGAGGTCATTCCGTGGGCCCAGCCACCCCAGGCCTGGGAGGGGAGCAGAGGTTCCGCTGCACCTCCCCCAGAAGATCTATGAGTCAGAATCTCCAGGACTGTAGCTACTGGGTTTCAGAAGATGGGGTACCCCACCACAATGCTGCCAGGCCCATACCTCACAGAACAGCAGTGATGAATCAGTTAGTGGACAGACTTACTGACTTACTAGGCAAATTCTTCCCCTTTTCTTCATTCCTTTTTTCTTTATAGTTTTAGAGACAGAGTCTCATGTATCCCAGCCTGTCCTTGAACTTGCTATGTAGTAGAGGGTGGCCTTAAACTTCTGACCCTCCTAAGTGTTGGGGTTATAGGTGTGTATAGCCATGCCTGTTTTATTTGGTATTGGGCTCATACCTGGATCTTCAAAAAGTCGAGGCAGACACCCTACCCGCTGAACGACAGCCCCAACCCAAAGTGTTTCTTTTAATCCAATGATGTTACTCTCTGCCTTGCAGGTAAGGAAACTAAGGCACAGCTCTGGTCCTTAAAACCTAGGTGGCTTGCCTCATTCTTGCCACCATTGGTCGTAAGAAAGAGATCAACGTAATCCCACCCCATTCAAGGAGGTCACAAAGTGCCATGTGTCCCCATCTCCCACTTCCTTCTGTGGATCAAAGAACAAAGTGCTACAATGTCATTGCAGGGTCACCCCCAGGCAGCTTTGGCAGAATCACTACTTTTTTTTTAAAATTGTTATTGTATTTGTTTATTTTGTTTGTGTATGGGCACACAGGGCAGGGGGGTGAGAGGACAATGGCTGGAATTGATTCTGGCCTTCTTCCAAGTGGGTCTCAGGGGTGGAACTCAGATCATCGGCCTTGGCAAACACCTCTCCCCACAGCCTCACTGCTGCTGTTCTTCATCCTTGGTTTTTGATGCCATTGTCTACATTGCTGAAGGTCCAGGGCCTTCAGCAAGGCAGCTTGCTCTGCAAGAGGTACTCTACAGGCTTTTCTGGCTTCCTAAGAGGATGGGTGAGAACAGCAGCAGTGATAGGATGCTCCCAGAATGTGGTAGAATCTGTGTGATAACTGTGGACCTGAGGGCAGCCTACAAGACACAGATTCCCGGGGGTGGTAGGCACAGCGGAAGTGTGTGGACACCAGGGCATTGCACTGGACCTACAGTTTCTTGTTGCTGGGTACTCCCAATTTTGTCCCGAATATCATTGTCCCAGGCACTCAGAGGAGATGTCCATGGAACTAATTCTACCACTTGCTAGGCATGCTCTGAGGACGTATGACAGTGGGCACTGCTGGCCCTTTTCCTCTGGCCCACTTCTCAATGATGGTGGAGCCTCCCTTCTCCTGGCTTCTGGCTATAGATCTCAGAGTAGGCCCGGGCTGCTGACCCTCTCAGATCCAACCTCTTTTGCTAACATTTAGAGTCATCATCTTTGCTTATCCTGCAACCTAATTCAAGTGTAACATAGTAGAAAAATCAGCACAACACTTTAGCTGACATAAAGGAGGCACGAGCAGTGAAGCAGCTTTCACTGGCACCTGGGTCACAGCTGCAGAGGGTCAGCAGGGCCACACCCAGGTAGGCAGCAGGTGCTACTGACCCAGAGGACTGTGGTTGCTCCTGCTGGGAGTGTGTTCTCCACTGAGATTCCCCAAACTCTCAGAAGTGGTAGGTGGCTCTCAGCCAAGCACCAAAGAAACCACGGAATATTTTCCCTCAATTTACCTGGTAAATCTTAGGCAAGAATGAATCTATAAAATAGAGTTAGAGCTTGGGATTGGATAATAAAAAGCAGGTTTTTCACCTCCACAATTGACTGCTGTGACTATAGGGGTCATGGAAGGGACAAACTCTACTTCTACCAGCTGCTGCCTAACTCTGAAGCTCCAGGTCACCACTGACATCAAAAATGTTAGTGAAGACCCCTGAGAGCCAGTGTAGGGAGGCTTATGACTGCCACTTCCTCTCCTGGCCTCATTATTACTGTCCAGTGGGACCTGAGGGCTAGGGAAAGTTTGCTCATAGCTGGTCATTTTATCACTTGCCAGCCTGAGGGGCAGCACAAACTGCCACCGTAGATAAAGGAAGCATGGAAGGTCCGATTCCCAGATCCACGGCACTAGACTCACACTGCATGGTGACTCTGTGATCTGATGAGCCCAAGCTGCTTTGAGGCTGTCCCTTGGTTGCTCATCACCATGCGTGTCCAGATGGAAGAAGAAATAACATTTCCATCTGCAGAGCTAGTGACTAAACCCAGAGTCTGGTGCCTGCTAAGCAGAGGCTTTACCGCCGAGCTACATCTCCAAGAACTGACTGCAGACCTTCCAGATGCTTCTGAAGGCAGAGGTCTCCTCATTCCTGCTGCTGTCTCCATATGTCCAGAAAAGTAGAAGAAGCCAGTCACCCCCTAGTGGAGTTACCTTGAAAGGGGGGAACTCTAGAACCCCTGGGGTACAGGCTCAGACAAGGCAGATCTTTTGGAGATGAGATGGGTCCTGTGCAGGTGATGGACTGGTTGGTCCTAGAGTGCCTAGGGACTGTCCCCTCCCCAGCTCCTCCTCTGACTCAAGAGATGGGATTAGTGCTACATTCCTTATCCCTGTCATCCTTCATGCTGCTAAGTGCTTTATAGGCTCCAATTTGCCAAGTGCCCCACCCTCGGGTGCCTGCCCAGCAGTCAAGGCTTCCGATTGTGACCCAGAGACAAGACCAAGCCTCCCTGTCCCAAGCCTGGAAGGCCTCCCCAGGGAAGCCCCTGTTCAAGCTCCAAGGATGGAAGCTTCCAAGAACTGTCCCCTCCCCTGGAGAACAGATGATAAGGGACACAAGATGCAACCACTCAGGGCACAGACCATGGAGAAGATTCCAATATGTCACAAGGCACGAGGAGCTACTGGAGGATTGAGCACAAGGTTATGTGACTACCTCGAGTCCTGTTTTCCCTGGTTCCCTGGGCATGTACACAAGAACCTCACCCTACAAGCATCCATGGTACTCAGATGCATTAGGTCTTCAATGGGGCTGGAATCTGTGGTGTAGACAATGCCCGTCTACAGAGTCCTCAGAGAGTGAAGCTGGCAGTACACTGTAGTGACTTACTTTTTGGTAAATCACTTTGCAGCCCAATCATTCCATGCGGGAGAAATTGCTATGGCTCTCTAACTGCCAAGAGTTCAAGTCCAAGTCTACTATCTGGGCCTGAGCAGTCTCTCACCTTTTCCTCCTTTGTGTTTAAGTGTCATCACTTAGGCCTCCATAAGCTGATTGCTTGGGGCTCTGGAGTCCCCTCTTTGAAGCTGTCTTTCCTGAGATGGACACCCTATTCCTCACCATCACACAGTTCATCTAGAGAGCCCAGAAGTCCTTACCAGTTGCTTCTTCTATCACAAACTCCTCATCTTCAAGAGAGCAGACCAGGGCTGGAGCTGAGCTGGTAGAGCGCTTGCCTCCCACAGAGTTCTGGGTTGCCTCCCCAGTGCAGCACAACACAGGTATGGAGGTACACACCTCACCTGTAATTCTAGCACTTAGGAAATGTCGGATCAGAAGTTCAAAGTCATTCTCGGCTACACGGTGAGTTTTGTGACTTTGTCTCGGACAGCTGAGTGGGGGCTGCACCCTCAGTCATTCTCTGGTATTACTTACCTTGATCTGTTACAGTAAACTGGTACTCAGTCTTTTCAGCTCTGGGTTCTGGGCCCACCTCCCCCCTACTGTGAACTCTCAGAGGACAGGTATGTGTCTTACTCATACATTCCCAGCACCTAACATTCTGTGGGTCCCTGCTTAGTTAGAGCACATAGAATGTGCAGTGGTTTTTAAGTTGCTGGAGCTCCAAGGAGTGATTCAGTGATGAGATTTCCTACAGGGAGATAATTGGGTGAGAGACACCAAGGAAGGGCCATTCTCTCAAATTGTCATCATCATCGGTGGATATCTGTGGCGGGTCTCTGTTGTGAAAGAGTTCAGAAGGAAATCTGCTCTGGGATGATGGTGGGGGATGG